CAGGTGATGGTGATTAGTGTTCGTTGTTAGTTGGTTGATTGGTTGATTACTTTCACCACTTCTGTCTTCTCTATATCCACTCGAACTCCTGCCTTCACTCCTTCCACAGTCAAGTTATTGGTTTTCGCCTGTAGATCTTCGATTTTGTGTGACATTAAACATAAATCATCCACAAAGTCCAGATGCTCTTTACTGGCCAGTCCTACGCTTGGAAAAAGGGAAGGTAGGGCGTCGAGCTAGCCACCAACCAAGTCTATACAGCAACTTCAAAGCATAACAAAACAAATTAATTTGAAGTGAAATATTTCCTGGCTAACTAGGGATTAATCGTACTATCACTTACTTACTAATATTGTCTGGTTTGTGTAGATTCATTTGAGCTGTGTTTCTAACGTCTTCAGTTTTAGTTGAAAAAATATTTGAAAAGGAAACTGAATAGGTAGAATAAAGAGTCTTAAGAATCAAGTTTCACTGACACGCAGCTTATTGGAGATGCAGGTACACGCCTATTTGATAAGTGTCAAGTAAGTCGAAATAGGCATCTTGGGCTTCTTTGCAGGTCACTACTAGCCAACCAGGTAATAACTTTAATGTTCTCCATTTGCCTTCTGTACAGCTTTTCTCTTAGGACAACAGGCTACAACAACTTGTGTGGCATCTCAGATTAACTGAATTATCAGTCGAAATTGTAGCGTTTCTCTCCAACATTCCAATCGTTAAGAGAAAAAATAACACAATCCTATCATCTGCTGACCTGGATTTTTCCCTCAATACTCTAGGCTGAGATTTTCAACAATTCACATGGTGCTTCTATCACAGTCACATTCAGTCCTCATCCTACGATAATAAGGAAAAATAAGGTGAAATGTCTCTAAAGTAGTTTGAATTTTTTACTTCCATAAGCATAAATTGACCATGAAAATGTGCGAAAACGAACGATTGCAAAAAAGCATAGTTTCAAAATTCACTCGATTCACTGATAGACATCCAGGTGAAAATACCTGAGGATGATGGCAAACACAGAGCAGTCAAGTTTTCACAATTATTGATGCATAAAAAACATCAAGTGAATACAAAGGACAGTTAATTAGTCTTTGAAAAAATCAATAAGAACACCTGAATTTGCGGAGAAAAACATGGATCTGTTTTATTTCTCTGACATCTTGTCAACTCCTTACCACTTGTTAAAATTATTACTGTGATTATTTGAATTCCGTTTTCATTGATTTTATTGGAACAGCATGTTGACACATAGCAGGAACGCTTTGATAGTGCCTTAAGATTAACACGTTATTCCCTTCGTGATGGCTAACAGAAGAATCTATAAGGCATGATTCATCACATATAAATTTTGATATACATGTAATCCAGCAGAATAAGATATCCTCCACGTTACGTCGTTTAACTGTGTAGACAAAACCTTCAGCTCTTACTTCAGTGTGAGGTAAATACTTGAGAAGTCTGCATGAATGCTATAAATGTCTCTCCTGATGACACTGATTACGAGAGACTGTCTTTAGAAATTTTGTGTTATCCTTATGTTAATTCTCACTGATGCTGATTGCTTCACTGACCTAATTTTCGAACAGTTCATCGTGTGTCTTGCTCTTTGTTTGTTCGTAAAGCTGATCTATGCCAGTGGTCTTCAGGAATTACAAAAACTCAACCCATACTGAAGCAAGCGTTGAAGGAAGGGCAGTTCAAGATTCTCAGTGATATCGCCCAGAATCAGAGAGTTCAAATTCACCCAAAGCCTCCATGTCAGCAACAAATCTTGCCCACTATGTCACGATTTTACAAGCACAATACGTTTCTAACTGTTCAAAAATCGGCTGAACTCTGTTTAAGACGTAGGGTTTAGGAAGACATGATGACATGAATATATAAGAGAGAACAAAAGTCAATATCTATATTTAGTAATAAATATCATTACTATAATTACTATTATTAAAATTGAAGCAATCAAGTTAACAGAGTGGTTAGATTTGAGGCTTGAGCGAGTTTCTTTGTTTATTCATTATCTTGAAAGAACTGATAAGGTTTACTTAATGCCCCATTTCACCAGGGGACTTTCCATAACTCGATTCTGTTTAAGTCTGAAACACTTTAGAATGTCTAACCTGAGATTGTATACATGACCTTCACCCTGCTCTGTCAGTGTTCCCGCTTCCACATGTGTATTGGTATACGTAAAGGCAAGTAAATTTAATTGACAGACGTATTGTTCGGCATAAAGAAATCAAGTTGATTGCATAAGAATTTGAAACAGTCAGTGTTATCCATACTCCGCTTGCTACGTCATCACATTTAAGTGTGTGACGAAAAGATACAGGCTATTCGTCAACTTCAAACATATCCAAATATGCTAATGAATGTCTTGGATATCAGTTGGTCAGCAAATACTTCTTAATGATTCCTATTTCATCTTCAAGTTTATCAATGCCACACATGTTACTTTAGCTCTGTGAAATAATCATTGCTAGATTTTCGTCTGGGCTCAGTCAGCGAAAACTTTAGGAATTAAAGTAAATCATATTCCTTCAAGAGAATCATCTGTCCTACGATGTACGGCAGCATTCAAAGTGCTTACCTTTCCACCAGTCTTTCACTGACCAACTGCTGGTTATGCAGTAGGGGGGATGATTGAAGCTGAAATGAATATATGTGTCGTGAAAAGATTCGAAATAACAGATAGTGGGTTCACAGTCGCATGCTGTAGTAGCTCAGTTGGATAGCACATAGCAAGACCCTGGTTCAAAATGCTTATTTGTCGGATAATAGATGGCTGCAAAAATGAATATATAAACATTAGTCTCCAGGAGAAATTTAAGTAAGACATTAGGAGAACATACATTGTATGATCAAAGCATTCTGCAGATTCTCTACAATAGCTTAACAACTTCTGAAATAATTATAAAGCAGTCATTAAGAACACAGTTTGAGTACCAAAGGAAGGTGTATTTATTAAACTACCATTCAAGGGTGACCAAATCATGTAGTTCATAGCTCAAAAGCTTCAGTCAGCTTTCAAGAGCACATCCCACGCCACATCTCTTTGCCTTACATGTCAAAAACTTTCGACTCATTTACTTGTGATTTAATGATGAAATTCTGTGGTCTCTACTTCAAGTGTTCATGGGTTGCTGAGTTGTGCCGCAGTGGCTGAATGGTCTACAAGCTTTACTTGTAACTGGAAAGTCCTGGGTTCGAACGCCGTAAGGAGTACATTGCCAAGGAGTACCGGCCCAGGACGAAACAGATATCCAGTACTACCTGGTTTTGAATTCTTCTCTAACTGGCGTTGATTCGCTGTCAAACTTGCGACTCTACTTCACACTGTATCTATAATTTCATTTGCAGTCGCAGTATCGCATAGATATGCTGAACCATTGGAATACTCCCATGTTACTGGAAGGCGCATGTTTCCCAGTGGTTATTAAGTCAAACAGAAAATTCAAATAAACTTAACCTGAATAGAAATCCAGCATCATCCACTGCAAAGCATTTACTAATGTTTATTTATAAAATCAGTATTTAAAAGTCGTTTAAAGTGAAGAAAAATTTCTTTTTTTACGAAGTCGGTATTAGTGACTACTGCTCAATTATTTCAGAAAACTTTAATTCAAGATTATTAAAGATGATGGAAACAGTTTGGATTGATCACATGCATCCAAAACTATGTGTACAGAAAACAATAGACTTCACTCAACCTATTCAAAATACTATTGGTTATTAATATGTACTTTTATTTTATATAACTGATTAGTTACCAAACACTCTATTTTATCATTGTTGTTTGTTAATCATGACAGTTGTAAAGTTATTTGTAGAGAATCTGCAGAATGCTTTGATCATACAACGTGTATCTTATTAATACTAAATTTCTGATGAACATACCAGTAAGTCAGACAATACATTTCAATTTAAGAATACAAGAAGCCATAATCTGTCAAGAATTCCATTATGGATAAATTTTTTTATTTTGATAAAGTCTCACACAGTGTTATACAGTAATATTTACTGAAGACCACATTTCGAGCATAAATGTCTGATCAATTTTCACTTATGCATATAAATGAAGCAAAAAAGTTGTGTAAATGCCTTGATATGATTATGAGCAATAATTTGTGCTCGAAACGTGGTCATCAGTAAATATTACTGTAAAACACTGTGTGAGACTTTATGAAAATGAAAATACTTATCCATAATGGAGTTATACCCTACCACAGTGCCCAAGTTTTATCTTTATATCAATAATGCCAAGAATTATTAAATAGTTAGTACATCTCTATGTGTGTATGTATGTAGGATGGAATCACTTCAGTCTGATATATTGGGTGTCAGTTGAAAGGCAGCCTTGCATTTCATACTTGATTGCAACCTCGTACACCACATAATCAGTCCTATGTCATACTGATCATATTATCGACTTGAATGATCTGTTTTTAGCAACACACCTTCGGTGTTTGGTCTTTAATCATTAATCCTTAACCTTCGATGTAGAGAAACACTACAACTAACTCAATCAGTGTAAGACTGTAGACCACGTATTGCATTTGACTCATACTGTGAATATCATACTTGAGGTGAAGAAATCTGAGACCAAGGTACTACGGAATCCTGTCATTTGATCCATGATGACAAAGGAAACATTCCAGTCCCCATGTTTAAGTGATATAATGATTAATTTCATAAGACAAATAGTAAAATGTTCATGGTCAAAGTAATAAACAATTCTTCCAATCAAAAATGAGCTTTAGTGAATTAGGTTTAATTTTCATTGGTTTAGCGAAAAACTGATTGATCTGATGAATAATTTCAACCAATAGTATTGATTGACTAATTCTGACACTTATTACAGACAGACACAAATTATACAGAAATTGAAAGAAGTGTAGATTTTCTCAATTCTCACATGTCTTGGATGTTATTAACATTTAACTGATTACCAGTATTATTATTAATAATATTTACTATCTATTGAATTTTACAAATGATCCATGTCTGTGTATACGCATAAACCTCCAGCATCGAATAAGCTTGGCTTAAAATTGGACTTATTAACATCAAATTCAGATGATGTCAGTAGAAGTGAAAAAGACCCGAATTCTGGTGTATCCAGTTTAACTTCATCGTTAAATAATCTTGAACCAAACAAGTATTCAAATGCACTAGTGTCTAATCGCAAAGCATTAATGCGTCCTGATTATAAAACACAACAGCAGCATAGTGGTAGTGGGAAATCCAGCCTGCAAGAGAAACGTTTAAATTTTCCGCTAACAGATTTTATTCACTTGGATAAATTTTCAAAGATATGTACTAACAAAAACAACAAGAACAACACCAACAGCAGCAGCAACTGTAATACAGTCGATTCCAATACATCATTTTATATAAAACTACCAGAAAGGCACGACTTCACTGCATCCACAGCATCACTGATTGTACATGTGCCTAGTTTATCTTATGTCAGTGAACAAATCGACGATGATCGATCAGATAATGATTTTCTACGCTCCGATATAAGTGATACTCATCGTAGTCGAAATTGTCCAATCTGTAATATTCTATATACAGATCTACAACAACAAATTGATGAAGTTCAGGATAAAAGATTTCTTAGCTTATCAGCAATCAATGTAAATACTGACACTGGTAGTATTACTAATAATGAAAACAGTAGCATAAGCAGCAGTAATAATAATAATAACAATAATATTAGTAATAATGTGAATACATCAAGATTATGGGATATACTTGAATCGTTCTCAGCGAATTCTCCGAGAAATTTCTGCTATTTTCATCAGAATCTAAGCAAACGCTTCAGTGCATCCAAACATATCAGTCATAATAAACCTGACGTCAATCTGACGACATCACTTAGTTTACCATGTTTAACCAGTCTAGACGACAGCAGTATGATGATAACGTCAACTGAGTTTGAAAATAATAATAACAATCATATGTCTTATACTTTAACATATAATAAGCGCATTGAGAATACTCCGTCGATATCGATTGAAAATGCTGATCAAGCGGTGACCAAAGGCAACAATGATGATGATGATAATAATGATAGTGTTGATGCTGGCGGGAATACCGAACAAAACGCTACCACCTCGAGAATGTCACATGAAACAGTAAGTAAGTGTGAATCATGGTTGAAAACATGGTCAAATTCTTAAAGCTTTGTTTGTCTGTTTGTTGGTCATTTAGCACCTATTAACTTGACTGGTAACAATAATTTTGCCATATTTTGAGAAGATACTAACAGTAATAGTAGTAGTATCAATTGACAAGATTATTGTCCGTCAGTTACTCTAAAGCATGTCTAGTTATCCAGAGGAGATGAATTACTTCATATTCTATGTTTTTGAGGAGTGTATATGTTTATTTGTGTGCGTCTGCAATTTCTATCGATTTGTCACTTTGAATTTTTGTTCTTTTAATATTATGTGTATTTATCTGTTGTTCTGTTTCTCTTACATGACTGTCTCTTTTAAAATCATCTGTCTGTTTTCCTGACATTTATTTGATGATCATTGGGAGTACAACGAAAGATCGTCCGATCACATTGGATCTAAAGTGATTTTATTTTTTGATGTCGGTATTCATAATAACCCCACCCCACCCCCCAAACATCTTTTCTTGCGTTTCTTTTTCAAAAAATTTTATTTTTGTGATTGTTATTTGCTTTGTTCACTTTTCTCCCTATCTATTTTTAAGTTTGCATTCCCGAAAAACTATCAGTTAAAACTTGTGTAAAGTGGGTTTTTTTCCTGCAGACTGAATAACAATTTGATTGCAGTTTTTGTTGCTGTTTTTGCTGTTGTCCTTGTTGTTATTGTTGTTGTTGTTGGTATTGCTTTTTGTATTAAATTTTTACTTGAAGCTGAACATATTTCTTTTTCAACCAAAAGGGAAATAAAACGCTCCACTAGTTATTTTTAGTTGCTTTCAGGAATTAATTTATTGATTCCAAATACGAATAAAGTTAGGAAACATTGTCAGTTAGAGAATACGATGAAATCTATCCGGAAATGAATAAATCGAATCTTTGTAAGCCTAATAATGAGTACAGTTTATTCTCTCTCTCTCTCTGTTTAACTATCAAATTATCTGAATCTATCAATGAGATGTTTTGTTCTAAGAAGCCAGTCGAATTACACGCTAGCGCAACATATGACAAATAACAACGCACTCGACCAGCAGCGGACTAGAAATCATAGGGTACTAGATTGTAGCTCATCAGCTGGACAGAAATGTGTTGATCTGAAAGCGTGATTTTCGTGGACTCAGCATTTCATACGGTCATGTATTTACACTGCTGCCCAGTGGCAGACTGAAATTAAACGTATGTTTAATGCTCCCCTTTCCCCACAGATATTCGGCTTTAATCTATTCTCTGCTGGTAAGAATATAAAGTCGTTTAACTCTGCCTATAAAATTGGAGTATTCTACTAGCAAGCATTGTCTGAGGAATATGAAAGTCTAAACTATGAATATGCTGAATGTTTGAAAATATTTAAACACAAAATTCTATTTTCAATTGCTGAACTATGTTCGACCAGTATATACACTTTACTTTTATTCACGGTGTCATAGGATCATCTAAACAACCAAGAGTTAAGGTTTAACTAATCGAAAGTATGAGCTGTTAAAAAACAATTCACACTGTTTAATGTAAAGTACTAATTTCCTTTTGTAAACACATTTCTGAGCTATAATACTCTACTGTTATTTTTTGTGTTTATGGTTGAAAGGAAACTAAGCAATCATTCGTAGGCCTACTATACATTCGGTAGCCATCATGCTCACCTAGTTACAGGATTGACGAGACTATATGGATGGAGGCCTAAGAGCTAATCTAGTGATTACATCTCAAAATACTGAAGAAATTCTGTCTTACACAGTGTTATTCAAATATGGATTCATTTGGAAAGAATCGAATACCTCAAATTGAGAAAAAATTCATGGGGTAAGAAAACAATTTGAAATTCAGTCAATTTAACTAATACTTGTACATCAGAAAATGATTCTCTCTCGCATAAGTAAACTTCAGTTCTGGCACAAAAGCAACAGGACTGAATGAAATTTCCGTTGGATATAAGGGGGGGGGGAGTAAACATAAAGAAGGAGAAAGAGAGAGATAAGGACAGGATAGGAAATTCTGTTCGATATAATTTCCAGTAAAACTACAATATCCTTGCTTTAAATGACACTGAAAGCCTTATGAATAAGTTATCCGGAAATCGAAATACAATAATATCGGAGGCTTGTTCAAACCACTTGGCTGCCTAATTTCCCATCCATTAAATGCATCAGATTTTTACTCACATGGTTTTAATTATCCAATTACATTGTTGAATGGCAATCTATATTCACGCCCATTTTCCAATGGATTTCAACCTACTAGTGTACATTTTTTGAAGGAAATGAAGAGGAAAAATAATTGCAGAATATTAAAAAGTGCTTTGCATAGAACAGTACCACTTCAAATGAAATATTATCGATTATAATGTTACTTTAAAATCCCGAACAAGGTGGAAATGCCTTGCAATGGCACATGTTGTGGAATGTTGAAGTACTGTGTGTAAACGCATTTTTAGAATATTACTATTATTTAAGCCACAAAATTCCGTTTTATCTCAGTAGTCTACTTATTTTGGCGCTACACATTTAGATCCTTAACTAACTGTCTGTCAAAATCTGCATACTTCTGAAAGCAAATCGAAAAACTTATAATTATATTTCTTGCGATCAACTGCATGCATCTTGTCGATACATCTCAAATAGTATAACGCTTATCCTTAGAATTTTTCTGATAGTCATTTTCTCCAAAAATATTCGGCGTCAAATATGACTAATACAGTTATTAAAACTATTTTAAATTTGCCATCCTTTCACCTCCGTGTACGAAATCGCTCCATCTCTGTGTTATCCTGTTGCCTCTTAGTATGTGTTGAAGTTTCAGTAGGAATTACATTATTCAGAAGAATGGATACTGAACAAACAGTACTCTTTTCGATAACTTCATCATCAGGCTCTACAGTTATATATACATTAAAGTGAATGAATGAATTAGTGTTATTCACAACATTAATTTTGTTTAAATAACATTGAATTAATAATATTGATAGATTACAGCTCAGTAGTATCAACATAAAATAAGCTGGATGTCAAAAAAATTAGGAGAGATAATATTACAAATTCATGAATTCATTGTCTCTACTGAAGGCCAAGGCAGTAGAAGGAGCTGGACTTGCTTCTTTTGAACACAGAGCACTGGTTGTTTGAGGCGAATTGCAATAACCTCTGCTGTTTTATTTACCGGCATACAGTTACATCAAGCTGACGAGTCTGAAATGCTCCTTCTAAATTTCACTCCTAGCTATCACCGACCAGATAACATCATAGTTTATTGCATTCTGGCTAAAAAATGATATACATCCTATCCATGTCATCTTTCTTCATTATTTAAGTATCCATTTATATGAACTGTATTTTATGTATAAAACCTACCTTCATAATGTATTCAGTTTATATGAAAACATTAATTTTCGATTATTATGAACTTTTCGGCAATAAGAAACTAGTCCACTCATGATAATATACGAATTTCGTAAAAAATAAAGCTGTCAGATGGTATTAATGACTAGTAAATGTTAAATTCATGCGTGTGAGTGTGTGTGTGCGTGTTTTTAAAAAATAATTCGACCATTAGATTTAAACAAATTAATCTTAGAATTCGCGAAAATGAAATTACTTGACATCTTTTCATCATTACCTGTAGATAAGCGATCTGAGAATGCAGATGTCAAGTACACTAAATTTAGGAAATACCTGTATGCACCAGATGAATTAGATGTTGATTGACCACTTCATCACCTGTTTTATTAGGAATTGTACTGTGAACAAAACATTTCAATGATGAACACCACTACTGATTCAGATAATTAGTTAGAAACTATTCACGTTAAACTGGATTGAGATGGTGTGAAATAATAGATTGATGTTTCATTCCTTTACAGCTGAAAGCATTAAAAGTGTATCAGATTAGACTGAACTAATATTACTTTATAAATGAGTTGGAAATAGAATACGACTGAGCCTACAACCTTGGAGGATCTGGACTTCGCCAATGATATATGACTGATTTCCCACAAACTGGAAGATGTGCAAGTTAAAAGCAACAAGTTGGCAGAAGAAGCATCAAAGATAGGACTTCAGGTGAACATAGAGAAAACAGAGGTGATGAAGATTCCTGGCCAACAACAGACAACAATCAGCCAGGATAATGGAAGAAATCTGAAAGAAGCAAACTCCTTTACCTACCTGGGAAGCATCGCTTCAACTACAGGCAGACGGAACTGATGAGGATTTGAAAGCAAGGGTTGGGAAAGCAAGGCAAGCTTTCATTACTCTGAAGTCTGTGTGGAGGTCAACAGCACTCAGCATGGAAAATAAGATCCAGGTTTTCAACTTTAATATGAAATCAGTGCTACTTTATGGATCAGAGACTTGGCGCGTCACGAAGGGCACTTCGGACAAACTACAGACCTTCATCAACAGCTGTCTTCGCTCAATACCACTCAAGATCAGATGACTGTCCAGAAAAGATCAGCAACAGAGATCTCTGTCAATGAGTGAACCAACCCAGTATCAGCCAACTGTGCAACAAATATGCAGGAAGAAATGGAGGTGGATTGGATTGACCATACTCTGAGAAAACCATCAAGTGAGTGACATCGCACACCAGGCCATTGCTCGAGTGGAACCGGAATGAAAAGCCGCGATTTGGTCATAATTGCGAGGGTGACATGGAGGAAGTCATGTGAAGAGGAGATGGGCGGATGTGGGCAGACGTGGAGCCAGGTGAAAACGTTGGCAGAGAACCGAACGCAATGGAGACGTGAAGCTGAAGCCCTATGTTTCTCTAGGAACTAAAAGAGACAATAATAATAAATAAGCCTACCATATTATTCTTAAATTTGCATCATTAAAAGCCGTCATTACATTTAACCACTTCCTATACAAAAATAAATTATTTGTGAACACGATTTTGTCTTTCTTCGCATAATGGATAGTACCTTGTCCACCAGTCAGGTAGCGTGTAAATTATTCACAGACATGTAAGCATTGAAATTTCGTTGCAATAAATAATCCATATACCCATTTACAACTTTTATTCAAATCGATTTTTGTTGCTATTGTGACTGTTTTCCCCAGTGTGATGGTGTCATATTGTAAATGAATAAAACGTGAAACTATCATGGATGTAAAATAGCAATTAGAAATTTTAACTTTGCATTTAGAAAATATCACAGTATTGTGATAACAATAAATCCGGAAATTTCTTTAAAATGTGCAAAACGTTGTGCTGCTGTTGTTGTTTCTCAAGGTGAAACTTACCTTCAGCTGCAAACAGAAACATTCACACATGCTGTCAGACAAGTATGAGAGCTTCATTATATGCAATCGTAGACCTACTCGACAGTCACTATCGATCAAGATTTAAATTGTGTAAATATTGACTGTCCTTTAGTAAGTCAGGTAAACGACCAATAAGATTACACCACATTGATAGACGCCCACTACTCGGCCCATGCCGCATCAAAGTTAGTTTCCATCAGGCAGTCTCAAATTATTATTATTATTATTAAATTGAATTTTTTCTTACGCTTGCTTTTTAGCACAGATTTTGTTTTCCTTCACGTTCCCCAGTGGAACATAGGGCTTCAAGCTAGTTACTTGAAGTTTCTGTAGCAGTGTTTATTTTACAGGATGGGGTTGCTAGCCTCATGCCCAACCTTTCCTCTTCACCAGCATTATTTCTGGCTTAGCGAGGTAAAGGAGTGCGTCGGCCGGGGATCGAACCCCGGACCATTCGCATGGTCGGCGAGCGTCCTAACCACTATGCCACCGACGCACTTTAGCACAGATATTCCACCATAATTATGTAAGTCTTTTGAATTACTAATTAGAAACAGGAAAATATACTAGGAAATTGTCAGTTGTTCATTGTGGTTAACACTCATGCAAAT